TCCGATGATTATATCTTCTTCTGATTTCCCATCTAACCGTATTCATGATCTGTGCACATCCACTGTACAACAATACTCTCTTTTAACTTAATTATTCTTCTCTCATAGCTAATTACATGAATTTCTAAAGAATGGTTGTACTGCCTCTCAACTTTCACAGCACTAGTCAAATGCTTTTGACATCTCAGAATTCTCCATTCCTCTGATTGCCATTATAGCCCTTTTTCTGTACTTGTTGTAGGTAAATTCCAGTATTTTGAACACAGTAAGCAAGAACCATACATAGTATTTTAAACTTTTTCAACATGGCTCTTCAGGTGCCTGGTAAAATCAAATACCAGTGTGCTTACTGCTTAAGGGCCTTAGGTTGCACAGTTTTGAGTAAAAAGGCTGCCCGTGTTCCTGCTCGTCACTAATGTATTTCTAGATATTGTATTGCTGGGATGCGATTGAGCTTTTGCAACATCAGCAGATACACAGTCTTGACATCTACATAGGTTAAGCCTCTGGAGTAGTATTTTATTGTGGTTGAAGCAAGCTGTTGTGATTAATGCTTTGTGTCATACAGTGAAAGAGATAAATGCGCTATGTATAGCATGTTTTCTTATCAGGTAGAAGCAGAAGGAGGTACCTGGTACTGCTGAGCAGTCTCTCGCTGTCAGCAAAACCATGCTGGGGGACTGTTCGGGCTGGTTGAGTAGCATCTTGTAGTTTGGTATTTTCAGGCTGTAAAGCATTTGCATTGGATGGCTGGCATAACTGCTAAAATGTATTCCCTTTTAAGTTACCAGGTTGATAATGGGATGTGTATTAATAAATCAGTTGCCAGGTGGTTGATTGGGAATTTCCTTACTTGCTTTTATTTCTAAGAGGGCTTGTATAAAAGTAAGTTGTTCAGGATCTTGTTACATTATGGATGGGAGATAGGGCATTGATGCTGAGTTTCAGGTGTCTCTGCTTACAGTGTCCAGGCTCCCAGCAATGATAGTCCTAGTTTCTAGAACTATGTGAAATTT